CTGCAAAACTGAGCAAGGCAAAAAAGTTTTCCCAGAGACACCGTGATCTCAGAGCCATGTATATACAGATCCATGTAAATACATCCCATGTAAATACAGATTTATGCACTTATCATTACTCATGCCAGTAATAACAGTTCCACTGAAATCACTACAGCTACATGTATACAATGAAGCACATGTGTAAGATCAGGATCTAAATATGGAACAGGCAAATTCACCTGCAGCTATGGCAACTGCACCTGGAACTGCAGATGCACATACCTGCATGAGCCTCTGTTCTGGTTAGGGGCTGACAGATCATATAAAGATAGATGAAAAGCTGGTGGAAAAGGCAGGACCAGAAACTGTCTCTTTTGTTCCAAAGCTCCGTACTTATCCCTTGCATCTTAATTTCTGTCAGTGTTCTGCACTCATTAACTCTGCAGCTCTGTAATTTGCTTTAAAAGGGGTTGAGGACACTGTAGCTGCACTCAGACATCAAGGCCTTCTGCCATCTCTCCTACTCCTTCAGATCTGGGGACTCAGCCCAGCAGTCAGCACTGCTCTTAACTTCAAGCACAGAAATGTTTTGTGCCACCCTGAGTGGTCATCAATAACTCAGCAGCAGGAGAGCAGCCCTGTGCAGAGTTTGGGTTTCTTCACAGAGCTGGCACCGAGGCTGGCTTGTGTGCTTAACTGAAGAGTTCTTGGCCAGGGGCCAGCTTGCATTCCTCTAAGCAACCAAACTCCTTGATAATTACTCCTCTTTTTTGTAATTCTCCTCATCTCGTTGTGCCAAGTTATCCCCCAGATTTTGTGCTCCTGCTACACTGAAGTGTTAGACACGCTAAAATATCTCAGTAACTTACATTCTTGGTTTGGTTTCTGGCCTTTTGCATTGCAAAAAGCAATAGAGACAGGAGCTGTATTTTACTGCTGCAGGACACCTGGGCTCAGAATCCCTGTCAGAAACATCCACCCCCGAGTTGTGTGGGGATGGCAGGGGCTGGGCAAGCAGCAGAACTCTGTTTCTGCCGGAGTCTGTGCTTCGCAAAGCGGCTCCAGGCACTTTCTCCAGTTCTTGTGATTCCCTTCCTGAATTGCTGCAGCCAAGTAATTGTTTCATCATGTTGCTCCGAAACATTTTCCCATCGTGTCACCATCATTTCTCAAATGCTCATTTCTCCTCTGTTCACTTACAGAAAATCCGTCCCGAAGCATCCGCGGCCCCCGCGCCAGGTGGGAGGGAAGGGGCGGGGGAGGCTCGGGGGGTTCGGAGGTTTGGAGAGCTGACTGCTGTCCCTGTCACTTCTCGGCACCCCCAGCGGGCTGCTCACCACAGCCCTAATGACGGCTGTTGCAATAGATGGCAAAGGTTTGTATTTATAGCAAACAAACACGTCTGGGTGCGCGCGGCTGGGCAGCGGCGCTCCCGCGGCTCCTGCCGCAGCTCCCATCTGCTCTGCAAACTGTGCCTAATGCAGACCTGCCTGAACCTCTGGCTAGGCAGCCTGAGCTCTGGGAAGGTGCTGTGATGGCTGGGGGATGTGTGACACAGGAATCCCAAAAGCAAGGGCCAGCAGGACAGGGCGAGGTGAAAACCAGATGTAGATCACAGTCTTTCTTAATTTTTAGTTAGCTGGAAATTATTATTGGAATTTATTATTTGTTGTTGTTATTATATGAGTAATTTCCATGGTCAATATATTTTGGGGAGGAAATTCATAATAAATGAGAATTAAATTTGGCACTGCTTTGTGAAATCACGGCACCCCGTTGGAAGGTTTGGAATTAAATATGTCCCTGTTGTCAATGCAAATCAATTCTCCTAAGCAAGTGTTAACCCACTTCTCGTTTTGAATTCCAGCCCTATAGTTTCCCACATCTATCCACCAGCACGTCTAGGAGGGGAGAAAAGCCTTTAACCCAAAATAAGACATTTGAGCCATTGAGCAGGTGGGGAAATGATCACAAAAGGCAAGTTGGCTTCCAGCGGAGTTTCCAATTCCCAGCAGATCAAATGCAGCGTGCTTGGGGAACGAGGGCCCTGCCAGCCCTGGGAGCTGAGTGCCAGAGCAGCAGGATGATTTTTATTTGACAGAGGAGCAACAATTAGTACAGAGATGCATGAATTTTCCTGCATCTTCTGAGTCACCAAAGGAAAGCAGTGGGAAAAGTGGAAAAGCAGAACTGCGCTGGGTTGCACATGCTTTGGGCAGATAACAGAGTGATAATTGAAGAACAGCTTTCAAAAGTATAATTGTATTTTTAAATATATTTTTTAAACTGCTACAAATGATTCGTTTTGCAGAACTAAGCACTACTAAATTCAAACACCTTATAAACCAGTGCTTTGATCAGTGCCAAGGATTTACAGACTGACTTCTACAGAGAAAAACCTCAGTTGTTTTAGTAGCAATAAGAAAGACCTGTAGAAATTAACCAATGCTAATACATCATTTGAAAAGAAAGATAAAAATAAAAATAAAAATAAAAATAAAAATAAAAATAAAAATAAAAATAAAAAGCCCAACTGAAATGCTGCTTACAAATTTCAATAAAATGGGAGCAGCTCTCTGGTGCCAGGGTTCTCTGCATGGCTTGCCCACCACGAGCTGTCCTGAGTGGCTTCAGGAACAGAAGCTCAGCAAGCCCTGCCGAGGCCAGCTGAGACATTCCAAGTCCTGCTCTCAGCCAGCAGAATCTTATTTGTCATGGGAAACTAAATCAATATTTGGAGCTGAGACACTGTTTGGACAGGGATTTTCCAATCCCCCCACTGCAATTAGAAAAGGTATTTGGAATCTTTTGTCTACTTTAGCGCTTGGAATTTTCTCAGATTCATTTACAAGCTATTTTTTCCAGACTATTATTTCCTAGGAAATGTTTTAATTACCGGGTTTTTTCATGTGCTGTTTTAGAGGGCAGAGTATTTTATGGCCTCCATGCATTTAATGGCACTACAAAGCTCCCACAATGTAAGTTATGAGTGTAATACAAGATTAAAAATGAAGGATTGGGGAATTCTCTTTCCAAGTCTTTCACAGATTCCTTCTGAGACGACTGTAAAATTGGTGTGTTTATGGCCTTAATTTTCTTGTCTGTACAAAAAATCATTGCTGGACAAGGTTCCTCCTGAGCTAGAAATCTGTCATCCTAATTGGGAGATACCTTGGAATACAGCAGTGATTTAAACATCATTCTTTAAGCTGCAGCAACGCTGCACTGGGGCAGGCAGGTTTAGGGATGGGGATTAGCTCCTTCATGCCTGCTAGAGCTCAACCTCCAAAACTGGACTCGTATTTAAACAGATATAAATACCTCTAGTACATCTTATCTTTCAATCTACCCTGCCTCCGAACTCTTGTTGGAAACTTTGTTATTCAGAAAGAAAGAAAGAAAGAAATGTATGTGAGGACACCTCCAGTCCTCAGCAATTCCACCTTGGGCAGCGCTGGCTCTGCCTGGGAGCGCCGCTTGTGAGTTTGGGTGACATTGTGTGGCCTCCAGCACAAGAAGAAAATAGGATCCAGCGCTGTGGATAAGTTTCGTAACGATACAAACAGCAGAATAAACAGCCACGGGAGGCTGGGGTAATCATCGTCACGAGGGACAGCCAAGACAAGATCTAACGTCGATCCTGCCTGCAAGAACTTGAGTCACGCTGCTGCAGGAGCGAGCTCACCCAAGAAATCTATTTCAGGGGCTCGTAAAAACAACTGAAGTGCACTGTACCAGTGAAAAAGCAAAAGGGAAATCTGTGTGGGGATAACCCTGCCCTGCTCACGGCTGCACAGCTCTGGAGTGAGCAGCCAGAGTCGGGGAGGGCTCCAGCTGATGGACCTGCATGAGGCTCTGATCTTAACAGGCAAGAAAAGCAGAGCAGTTCTTTCAGTAGAAAGCATGTTTTGCTTAAAGAGACACTGGAAATAAGCAACAAGTTTCAGATTTGTCCTGCGGCCCACGGCTGTTTGTGTGGAATGTATAGGAACAACTGAAGGCCACTGTCTTTGTGTGAAACCCCCTTTTGTGCTCAGCTGTCAGAGCACAGGCAGCAAAGGAGCTTCTTTCCCCAGGCACTGGGAATCTGGATCTAAAAACTTCACGCTTAAATTTGGCCTAACAGGAAAATGGAAAATGCTGACTAAGACCTGATCTTCTGCCCAACTCCCTCCACGTAACCAGCCTGAGACTGTTCAGTGCTGGAGCAGGGAATAACAGGCTGGCCTGTCCCAGCAGCAGGCAGAGCCTGGATCTCCCCAGAACAAAGTCCTGGCCTGCCACAAAGCTCCCCCTGCTCCTCTGCCACCCCTGTCTGTCTCTAGCCCCCAGCAAACACCTCTCAGCAGAGGGTCTACCTGCAGGTCTCAGGAGAACGACTCCAAGCACAGGGAAGGGATGGTTCATGAGCCTCTCACCTGGGTGGGTCTCATGGGAGCTTCCTGAGCAATGCCCGAAATTACCGACATCCAACAGAAATGCTACTTTCTCATGTTTATTCCTGTAAACTGCAAACATAAGAAATGCTGAATCGTAATGAACTCTGTAAAGAAAACAAAAAAAACCAAACACAAACAAAACCTCACTTCAGGCTTCCTCCCTTACTTTTTCTTCCTCCCTCCCACTTCAGACTCGGCGTTATTTGCCAAAGATTGGTCATGGTTTGGATAGCACATCTTGCTCTACACGTTCAAAACAGCATGAAGTGCAGAAAAAAACCCAACACAAACACCTCCTCCCCAAACAACACCCAAGCAGCATCTAAAGCAGGTGATTAAAGGAAATAAAATGAGGCAACAAGAACCGGCTAAGGCTTCCAGCTCTGCTCTTTGCTGAGTTTCTCTTGGGGGTTTGGTTTTGATTATTGGTTTGGGGTTTTTTTCCCTTTCTCTCAGAGAAAGCTTTAAAGACCAACAAAAATCTCTATCCCTGATCACAGCATTGAGCCAGAATCAGCTGGAATTTCAACCCTGTGTTTAATCTAACTTTAAGCATGCCTTCAAAATAAAACAAGCTACTTTTTTTTTAACCTAGTCATAAAGTTTATTAAAATTGTTCATTAATGCTTCAAATGTAGCAAGAATGCATAGATCCCAAAATATACATATGTATTTTCTTATAGAAATAGATTATTCTTTATAATAAAAAAACTGTAGGAACATCTTTAACAGATTACTCAATCCATGACTGACAGTTACACGAGATTGCATCATGTACACAGCATTCCCAGCCATGCTTAAAGGATTGCATCACTTTGCCCTTGCTCTCCTCTCGCTCTTTTAAATAACCCAGCGCCCAGCAGAGCCCGCCCGGGCCGGGGCCGGGGTCCCTCCGCGCCCCCTCCGCGCCCGCCCCGCTGCAGCCCCCGGCCCCGCTCAGACCCCGCGCGGCGGCGGAGCCTTCCGCCAACATGTCGGTAAAGACAAAAAAAAATAAAAATAAAAAAAAAAATCCAACAACAACAAGAACACAAATGAAAACCAAACCCGCCCGCGCGGCGCGGGCTCTCGCCCCCCTCGGCCCGGCCCCAGGAGCGCGGAGCGGGGCCGGGAGCCGGGGCTCCGCTCGCCCCGTGCCCGGCCGGGGGTCAGCAGCGCGGCGAGGAGGCGAGCAGGGGGTCGGGCAGCTGTTTGAACAAGTTCCTGAGCGTGCTCAGCTCCCGGGAGAGCTGCTCCACCTTCTTCTGCAGCCGCTCGTTCTCGGCCGTCAGTTCCAAGACTTTATGCTGCGTCTCCAGGTTGCGCATTTTGGCTTTGTCGCGGCTCTTGCGCACCGCGATGTTGTTCCTCTCCCGGCGGAGCTTGTACTCGTCGCTGTGCTTGTCCACGCACTTCTTGGGCTTGTTCTTGCCCGCCGGGGCGGCGGAGTAGCCCCCGCCGGCGGCGGCGGACTTGGAGGACTCGGAGGGGTTGGGGGTGCCGGGGGGGCTGGAGGAGGAGGAGGTGGACAGGTTCCCGCTGCTGCCGCTCGGCACCGACTGGTAACCCAGGTAGGAGCGCACGGTGCTGCCGTAGGGCGAGGACATGCCCCCCGGTCCCGGCCCCGCGCCCCCTTCTTCCTTACGGGGCCCTTTGCAAGAGTCCAGGGTCTCGAAGACCGGCTCCACTTTGGTTTCCACGATCTGGGGCGGGAAGCAGCCCGGCAGCCCCCCCGGCTTGTGGCTCTGGCTGGCGCAGGGGTGGCTGTGCCGGGCGAGGCTGATGTAGGCGTAGTCGGGCTTCTTGCTGCCGCCGCTGCCTTTATAGTCCTCGGCGAAGAGATCGGAAAGGAAATCTTGGCCGGCGCTGCTGCTGCACGGAGGCTCAAAGTTGCCCCCTGCTGCTGCCGCGGGAGGCGGCGGCTGCGACGCCAAAGGCTCCAGGTACGGGCTGAAGTCGATGGCTCGCTCGTGGTCCCCGACGGTGAGCTCGGTCATGGAGCGGCCCCCGGCCGCCCGCGGGTGCAGCTTGTTGAGAGCAGCCAGACAGTCCGCCTCGTAATAGAAATTAGCCACTTCCATGGATTTAAAGGCGGGCGGCTGGATGGGGAGGCATGCTGCGTCCCAGGCCACCAGGCGTTGCATGAAAGCAAAGGGGGATGCGGGGAGGAGGAAACGACGCAGGGGGCCCCCCCCGGCAGAGGGTCAAGCTGCCGCCGTCGGGGTGGGGGGCTCCAGACCCTGCCGCGGTCTCCGGCCTGGGCACGGCCCCGCGGCGCTGCCCAGCCGGGCTGGATCAGTCCCTGCGGCGCGCCGGGGCTTCACCGCTCCGGCAGCTGCGGCGGGGGCTGGCGCGTCTCCTCCGGACCATCTGGTTCTGGGTCCCGTGTCCTAAAGTCTCTGACTTAGGAAAGTTCCTTTCCCCAGTTATTTATAGGGGCGGTGGATCCCATAGCAACAGGCGCGTCACCGCCTGGCCGCCTGCCACTCCGCACGCTCGGCGCTGCCGGTCCCGGCCCCGGAGGAGGCTCCGCGGCGGCTGCGCCGGTGCGGTGCGGTGCCCGCCGGGCCGCCCACAACAAACCCGGGCAGGGACCGAGGGAGGGGCCGGCTGCGGGCCCGCAGGTGCGGGAGGTCGGGGCTGGCCGCTGCCGGGATGGCAGCGGGCAGCGCTCAGCCCCGGGGCCGCGGGGACACGCGTGTGCCGGGCACTGCTGCCCCTGCTGCCCCTGCTGTCCCTGCTGCCCCTGCTGCCCCTGCTGCTGTCCTTGCTGCCCCTGCTGCCCCTGCTGCTGCTGCCCCTGCTGCCCCTGCTGCTGTTGTCTCTGCTGCTGCTGTCCCTGCTGTCCCTGCTGTCCCTGCTGCTGTCCCTGCTGTCCCTGCTGTCCCTGCTGTCCCTGCTGCCCCTGCTGCCCCTGCTGCTGCCGCTGCCCCGCGCCCGCCCGGGCTCCGCTCGGGCACCGCAGAGCGAGGCAGTGCCCGGGGCTGGGCACAGATCGCTCTGGGTGTCGTTTCACCCTGGGGGAAATCGAGGCAGGAGAGAGTTTTCCGAGTTCTTTTGGCAAAGCAGGGGGAAAGCTGCAAACCAAAAACGGATCCCGTTACTCCGCGTCCCGGGCTTGCTTTGGTGAATCCCCCTGGCAAGCAGCAGTGTGCACAGGGAGTGCCCGGAGCCCCTTTCCAGCGGCGGGAGGGCTCCAGGGCACTGCCCCCGCTTCCCCCTGGCCAGCAGCCCCAGCCCGGCCACGGCAGCGCTTCCAGCACCCATGGGGGCATTCACGTTTGTCTTGGCATATTTGCTTTGCACGATACGGTGCAACTGTCAGGGCACACACGGGAACCGGGAATGGGGAACCGGCGCTGGAGCCAAAGGAGACGGAATGGGGTCAGAGCAGAGGGAGATTCGTGCCTCAGAACGTGGAATACAAAAGTTTTGAGATTTGCGGGGTAAGTTTGGGAAGGAAGACTGAATCCCAATGTCCGTTTTAATTAAAGACACCCACCTTGGGAATCAAACTTATATTTTCACTCTCTTACTCCCACATTTACCTGTCTACAAGCTGATGATTCATGCCCAGAATAAAGGACATTAATTTAAAACAAAACATATAATTAAAGGAAGTAGGAGTGTCCTCCCTCAGTAAAGAAGACCTAGCACTGCAGGGAAAATGACACTGCCTCTTAGAATAATGTGAAGCAATCCTGCGGTGTGGGAAATATTGTAACGTTAAGCCAGAGGAACAGGTATTGCATTATATGATTCAAACAGTCAACTGTTCTTAATGTTCAAACCTCAGAACTCTGAAAAGAGGAAGAATTCAAGAATCAGTCAGTGGATCATCAGACTTTTTCTTTTATTTTAATTTTATTTTTCTTTTCACGTTTTAATAGGATTTATTTGTTTGTTTCCATAACAAAAGCTCCCTAACAGGTTTTCAGGCTTCAAATATTTCTAGTTCCATCTTTATCTACCAAGTTAATCTTTGGTGAATGCACTAGAGATTAAATTGGAGCTGGGGCTGGCCAGAGAGCTGGGTCTGGAGATTGTAGTTGGAGCCCATACCTTCATAAATACAAACATCTGTATTGGGTGCAAATACTGGCAAGTTGCAGTGAGCCAGGGCTTGTTCTTCTGGCTGTTTACTCCCTCATCCTGTGCCTTTATCCTGCATTCTGATCTGGCAGTTACATCCAGTGGCTGCCCTAACTGGCCCTTCCAACCGAACTCTTAAAAATCAGCTTGGTGTTTCCTACCCCGAGCCGTCCCAGGGCCCCAGAGGCAGGACCCTCCTGCCTGGTGACCTGCTACAGGCACAGCTCTGCCTTGGCATTGCCCCAACAGGTCTCCAGCTAGCCACGGTCCTTGGCTAAAGTCAAATGTTAAAGCTGCTTGGTAAAATTCCTGAACAGATTTTCAAGATGTTTTTTGGAGATCTGAGTTTGCCCTCTTCAAATTTCTGCCCTCTTCTCTGCTGCTCTGCAGCAGAAGGTTGTATTCCTGCCTGGGGTTAATCTTCCCTAAGAAAATAAAGTCTGTGCAACTGTCATGTGAAGCAGATTCTATCAGGGCTGGCCCACACCTGCTCTCCCGGCCAGCGCTGAGTAATCCCGCAGTCACCCCGATCACGTCAGCTGGGGTGGTAATTCAGGTTGGGTGCCCAGCTTGTCCCCTCCTTCCCTGCTCCCCCTCACCTCCCTGCTCTACCTGGATCTCTTTCAACTTCCTCCAGCTCACCTCAAATCCCAGCATCCACTCTCATGGAGCCAACGTCCGCTCTCAGCTTCTCATGGGAACCTTGTTGGCGGGACTAACCACTTATCCAAAACCCCAGCGTTCAGCAAGCAGGTTTTGAGCTAACTCTGGTCTCTTTTAAATTATTTCTGCACTTGTCACAACAAATGCGTGGCCAGGAGTGGGGGTTTTGAAATGGGAACAGGTGCAGAACGAGGCTCACACCACAGGACTGAGCCGAGGTCTGGGCACACAGGGCTCTGTCCCTGCGAGTGCCTGCCTTGGCCTTGCCAGATGTGCAGAGGCTGCTAATTGTCCTGGAAAAGCTCCTCAGAGGTGCTTTAGGCAGGGAGATGCAGACATTCCTGGTAAAGGGACCCAGGCACTGGCAGCAGCCCTTCAGCTTGTCTCCCAACAGAGCAATTTCCATTAGAAAAGCAGCACTTCTGTGAAAAGCACCTTCCTTCCAGTGATTTCATAATTTCTTATTTTCAGAACTATTCAGCTGAGGGAGGAGACAGCAAAAGTCCCAAATTACTTAGTAAGAATACAACATTTTTAAGAAGAAAATCTGATGCAATAGTATCCAGGTTCCTCTACATTCGTGTGTGAAACAATCCAGACATGGGGAGGGGAACAGGAGGAGACCAGTGTGGTGAAAAGGTGGAGGGAAAAATCTCATCCTCTCTGCTCATCTCTGTCATGAATTAAACTCTGCTCTCTCTTTGTACTGTAGAAGCCTCAGCTTTGCAGCTCTGGGCTCAGACCTACAGTAAAGCATTGCAGAGGAATTTTCTTCCTGGAAATTTTCTTCTTTTCCAGGATTTCTTGCAAGCATTCCAGTTCACTCGCTCCAGGTCTACAGCAGCTGCCTCTGGAATGACACCAGCTTTGGGGAGATGCTGTGAGTTTCGTGGGGATGGCTCAAACACTGAAGTGTTTATCAGAACCGAGGGTCATACCCCAGAAAGAGCCTGGCTGACATTTCTGATGTTTCTCGCTCAGCTTTGTCCCGTTTGTGATTTCCCTGGCAGCAGCTCTGAGCAGGTCAGTGAGATCAGAGCTGCATGGCACCAGAGCTGCTCGCCCACCCTGCAGAGCTGCAGCTGGAGCAGCAGAGGGGCAGAGCAGGGGCAGGAAGGCAATGCCAGCTGCTGACAGCCACAGCAGGGCCTGAGATGCTGTGGGTGGTGTTGGAGGTGAGCTGGAGGGGAACAGGAGGGACCCAGAGCAGTGTCCCTGCAAGCACGCACAACAGGGCTCTGGGGGGGTACCTTGCCTAAAGGACTGACCTAAGTAGAGCAATGTTGCAATAAAGGCTGTAAAATAGAGAAGTAACATTGAAATTTATTTCTGAGCATGTTGAGCCCTTTTTTCCCCTTCTCCCTAGCCCCAGGTCTCTCTTTATTCAGCTGCACACCATATGCCAACAGCAACTCACCAGCTGCACCTGGCAGAGCACAGGTTTGAAACCATCGCTCTCCACTTGCTGTTCTCTGCTGTAAAACAACAGCCCTTACTAAATGTCAGACAGGGACGATGTCTCAGCTCAGGAGAGAGCTTGGCTCTCCTTCTGTCTGCCCCAGCTCAGACCCAGCTCGAGACTTTGCTTCATTCTGACACAAAAAGGGATTGCCACACGCCCTGGCCGCGCTGCCCCGCAGCTGGAGGCTGTGCTGGCAGTCCCAGGGCAGGCTGTGTCTCCTGGCCTCCTTCTCTGCTTTTGTTCCAGAGCAGAGTCCTCTCCCTGCTCCCTCACCCCGCTCCCGTGTGACACGGTGATGGGCTGGGGCATGGTTTTTGTTGGTCTTCTGCTGATTTTCTGCTCCCCTCTGACCCAGCAGGCCTGGCCTTCGCAGCGCTGCGTTGCTCAATCCCCCTTTATCTCCACGGTGCTCTTTGCCCCAGCGGGCGCAGAGACGACACCTGGAGACTGACACCGTGGGACAACATCAGCCAAATTCCCTCCCTGAGCAGACGGAAAATTTTCCAGAGGTCAGAGCACCCACTCTGTGGCTCTGAGAAACAAAGAAAGGAGGAAGAGTCAGAGCGCACAAAGGCCCACGGAAGGGAACAGTGACAAAGCATAAGCCACAATCCCCATCCTGCATGGCAGAGAAAGTCCCTGCTGGAGCTGGCTGGCTGGAAGGATGTGGGCTGTCAGTCTGAGCAGGGACAGTGAGAGGTGACTGTGTTTTATCAATAGCCCATTTTCTAGTGCTCCCATAAAAATAGCAGAGAAGTTACTGTCCACTAACTTTACAAAAGTTCTCTGACATTTCCTGGGTAATTGCAGCCTCCTGCTTTGATGAATTTGTTACAGATTATGCATTTATGACCTCTAGTGTATCCAAGCTTTCAAAAGATCCATCAAGGGAAGATGAATTTCATCCTTCCAGGGTACCCTGTGAAGTGTCAGAAGTTCCTAGTAACAGGACTTGGTAACTCACTTAGGAAATGTCTAAAAGAGGAGAACTCTTCCGAGGTCCTGAGGCTGTGGGACAGACAGCTTGAACGCCATGGGGTGTATGGCAAGGGGCAACGTAAAACTAGGGAAGTCTGACAGGGGGTGACAGGAGAAGGGGCTCAAGTGAAGAAATAGAAGATTTTTCCTTTATTACAAGCATTAAAAGTCTGCGCTCTGGACTGTACAAATACTTGTTTTCCATCTGCTCTCGTCCTGTGTCGAGCACCACAGGGAAAGCGGGGCTGCCAGGGAATCGGTTCGGGCTTGTTGTTGGTGAGTGCTGGCACTCGGAACAGCCCCGGGGCCGGTCTGTGTCACCTGGCAGCTGGCGGTGTGGACGGGCTGCCGGGCGGGGGGAACCGCGGTGCTCTGTCCTCCGCACGCGGCCCCTGCCATCTCCGCACCTTTGCAGTTACGGCTTTTGGACGGGAGCCGTGGGAGTGGCTGCTCCAGCTCTGCCACCCACTGACACTTTCCCATGCCGGAGAGAGTCCAGCGAGGAACCGCAGCCAGGTCCTGCTGCCCCGCGCCCCGGGGCTCGGGCGGAGCGGGCGGAGCGCCCGCGGGGGCTGCGCTCGGCCGGGGGTGCGGCAGGAGCCGGCACGGGGCCAGGCGGCACCGGGGGCACCAACGGCACCGGTACCGGTTCCCGCCTCCCCGGTGTGGGGCCAGGGAAGGAGATCAGTGTGGAACGCGCTAAGCGCCGCTCTTCGGGGATGGCTTCGGGCAAACGGGCTCCGCAGCCGCGGGAGCTTTCCCCGTGTCCCGTCCGGGTCCGTCCGGTCCCGGCGGGGCTGAGGCGCAGCAGGGCCGCGTCCAGGGCGCGGGGACCGGGAGAGGCTGCCCCGGCAAGGAGAGCCCCGAGCCCCGATCCGAGCCCCGATCCGAGCCCCGATCCGAGCCGATCCCGATCCCGATCCCGATCCCGATCCCGATCCGGATCCAGCCCTGCGCCCGACAGCGGGCTTGGAGCGCCACCTAGCGGGCTGTGCCGTTCCGTGCCGTGCCGTGCCGTGCGTTACCGGGGCCGCACCGGGAGGGGCGGGGCCGTGCCGTGCCGGCGGCCGGGCCGTGCCGTCGTGCGGGCAGGTGCGGCTCTGGTGCCGCCGATCCTGAGCCATTTTCCAAGGACTTTTGCTAGCCCGTGCACGGCCAAACCTCGGTAGCAACGTGCCGGTGCTTGTTCCTCCCGCCAGCCCTCCGGCCTCGACAAACCAAGATCACCCACACACCTTGGAGGTGACTCGGGGCCCGCTCCCGGGAGCGTGCCGCAACCACAGCCGCCCGCATCCTCCTGCAGCTCACACACTGTGCAGAGCCGCGGGGCTGTCCCGGCACCCCGGCTGACAGCGGCGGCGCGGCAGCGGGCTGTGACCACCCACGCTGTCCAGCACCGAGAGCAGGGCAGGCCAGGGGCGCGGGCTGCGCCACCAGGGGCACCCACGGTGGCCGCATTGTCGCCGCTGTGGCGGGTCGCGGGCACGCCGGCAGGGAGCGCGCGAGGCACCGAGCGGAGGGGGCGCTGCGAACGGGAACCGCCGCGGGACGAGGCCGCGGAGGAGCCCGAGGGCGGCGGGCGGCGCTGGGGCGCTCAGCACGCCGGGGCCCGCGAGCTGGCCGAGCTCTACTCTCCAGGTGAGGCGGCGCGGGCGGGCGGGGCCCTCGGGCCGGGTGCTCGCGTGGCTCCCCAGGAGCCGTTCCCCTCGAGCCGCGTTCTCCCCGGCCCGGTTCTCCCGTGGCCGGCTCCCCTCGGGCCCGGTTCTCCCCCGCGCGGCTCCGGGCGGCCCGGAAGAGCGGGAGGGGGCGGCCCGGGGCTGGCGGCGCTCGGCCCGGCGGGCAGCGCGGGGCTCCGGGCGGGGCTGCGGCACGGGCCGGGCTGCGGCCGCAGCCTTCGCGGCCACAAACCGCCCGGGAGGGACGTTCTGCGCTCTAAAGCCGGCAGCACACAGCGACCCTTCCCCTCGGGGCGCAGGAGGCAGGTGGGGTCGCCACACGGGGCGGCAGCAGCGGCTCTGCCCGCCCGGTGGGTGCTCCTGCCCGCCCGGTGGGTGCTCCTGCCCGCCCGGTGAGTGCCCCTGCCCGCCCGGTGAGGGCCCTGCCCGCCCGGTGGGTGCCCCTGCCCTCCCGGTGAGGGGCCCTGCCCTCCCGGTGAGGGGCCCTGCCCGCCCGGTGACCGGCTCTGCCCGCCCGGTGAGGGGCCCTGCCCGCCCGGTGAGGGCCCCTGCCCGCCCGGTGGGTGGCCTGCCCGCCCGGTGAGGGCCCTGCCCGCCCGGTGAGTGCCCCTGCCCGCCCGGTGGGTGCCCCTGCCCGCCCGGTGACCGGCTCTGCCCGCCCGGTGAGGGCCCTGCGCTCGCAGGCCTGGCACCACACAACGGGCACGGGGATGCTCCAATTCCTGTTCCGCTCTTCCTGGAGCCTGGGCCTCTCAAACAAGCTTTAGTGTGTCATTTGGGTGCTCAGTAAATGGTTTGACTGTTTGGCTGTGCTGTGGAAATAATTGCAAACTCCTTGTGAAGAAGCCATCATTTGTTTTTAGCTCACAGTGTGAGCAGTGCTGGATGTTCCGGCCATTCCCAGTGAATCCATTCTCTAGTGAAGAATTAGGGAAGGGAAGATGTGTTTTCAGTATCTTGTGGTTTCCAGCAGATCAGCTGAGCCCAGCTTGCACATCTGAGGCAATTCCTGCACAAGTAGGTGTTCTTACTCACACAGAGCCATGTGATGATAAGAAATCCAAGGCCTTTGCTCGTTTGTGTGACTGGGGCAAGTCTGCCTGTTTCGGTTTCTTTTGCTCCCCTCGAGCTTGCCTTGAGCAGGTCCTTTGTGGCACCCTTCAGCCACTGGCACTGATTCCTGTGCTTTACCCAAAAGCAGTCACAGGCTTAACCACTGCTCTGGCTCATAAGGAAAAGATTTTCCTCCCCAAAGAGCTTGCTGCCCTTCTCGCTGGCTGTAGCACACGTACAGTGATACATCAAGGGGCTGAGGGTGTATTAGATATGCAAGTTTCTTCTGGAATTGCATAAATAATTTACATAAGCTATGCCAGAATATGTATTACGGTGGAAGCGTATCATGTTCAAATTGTGAGTTCATAACAATGGGGCTTGCATTGAATTGTGCACGGTGAACATGACAGGAATATTTCCCTGATTTCTTCAAGCAGGTACTTTGTGGCTTTGGCAATTCATTCCTTCACAGACTGTGGGGTTTGAGTGCCCTTTAAACACACGTTATCAGTGCTGGCTCAGTTCCTTGATTTGCCTTCCCAGTGCGGAGCTGGGGCTGTGATTTTGGACCTGGCTATCTCCACAGCCACGCTGGCTCCCTGTGTCAGGCTGCAGAGGTGTTTGCACACACTGAGCTCAGGGGACTTGCCAGCCTCCTTTCCAGCACTCAGCTAATTGTTCCATGAGGATCTACCCACTTAGTTCCTCTAATCAGCGTGTGGTTTTCTTATGAAGGGAGTGAGTGTTAATTAACTCTTACTTTCATTACTCCAGGGATCTCTTTATGGAATCACCCACGTTGTGACCTGATGCTGCTGTCAAATATGGCTGTTCTTGTGTCTTAATTTAATTTTACTATTCTCTCATCTGCTGCTGCAGAGAATGTTAATTTATATACCCATGGCCCTTCTAGAACGTCTAAAACTGACCTGTCAAAGTCTTTGTTCACACTTGCAAATATTGCCTTGTAGGCACGCTGGGGATAAGACTGATCCTGCGTTTGTGTTCCTACTTTCCCTGCTCGTTGCGTGGTACAGTGAGAAGGAGGACTTGATTTAGCATTTAGGAGGAGAAATTTGATCAGGCATTAGGTCAGCAGAGAGGAGGAGTAGGACAGAAGCTGAACACATGCCAGGGCTGAGTGTGCCTCTGCTCCTGGGAGCACGAGCACCTCTCTGGAGCCCTCGCTGAGCCTTCCTTGTGCTCTGTTCTGCCGGAGGGACTGGGGAAGGGGCTGTGGGGGAACTGCTCCAGGGAGCCCTGGGCAAGAGGAGGCTGTGCTGCCTGACCCCTGGCACAGGCAGGCACTGGCCTGGCAGCTCCTGAGGGCATTAAGAGCTGCCTGCAGCCCAGGCCCTTCTGGTGACAGCTCAGATCTTCTTGGCCTTGGGTATTAAAGCTCTGTTTCTGTGCCCTAATCCTGCAGGTTTCACCCTGAGTGTTCCCTGTGCTCTGCCTCAGTGCCTCGTGGGGATCCAGCAGTGACGAGCAGGGAGCAGCCTTCTGTGCTAACCTCATACTCCAAGTGTCACCGTACCCTGATGTGCCTGTTCCCTTTTTATAGGCAGTAAATTATTTTTTTATAGCGGTACAAAGTGGTACAGCAAGGTGCAGGAGAGAATTTGTGCCAGTTCTTTCTCTTTTCTCGTTTTGTCCCTTGTCATCTCAGAGTGGCTGAGAGTTGCCAGCCTTTGCCTGGGAGCAGGAAGGCACAGACAAGACAGCAGTTCAGGGAGAAGCTTCAGGGGAATACTTGTGACGTTAGACAAGCCATTCCAGGGCCACCAAAATACAGAACAGTGCTTTTTCCTGTTAGTACAACAGCTTTATTTAAAATCTCAGAGCTTGTAAATATTACAGATCACAAGGTGATTTAAATATGTTTGAGGCCAGAAATTTGTTCCCAGATTCAGCCCTTCCAGCAACACTGAATATTGGATGAAATGCAAATTGAGAAAAGATGTGACGTGGAGGAACTTTATGCCAGCAATCTCAGGGAGAGGGAAACTAGGACAGTGTGAGATGATGTCTGATTTGGCCCTGTTAATTGGACCAGGGCAGAGGGAAGAGGGAAGTAGTGGCTTGGGGAAGAGGAATGTCATTTATGAAAATGTGTGCACCTCCCATAGATAAAGAAGTTTCTGTTTCAGTTCCCTGTCAGACAAATGGAGCAAGTCATCCAGGCAGCAGAATGGTCTGTCTCTGTTATTTCGGGCTTCAAAATGTCCTCTCAGATAAAAGTAAAACTTGCTTTTTCCCTTGTTCTTTCCAACAGGAAAGAGACTACAAGAATGGATCTCTGTCATCTTATGCTTCTCTCTGATCTGCTTCAATTTTTACAATCTCCTCTTCTACCTGCGGCTGGAGCACACGCCCTCGGTTCTCGTTGGGATTTGTAAGTAGGAGCTGTTCCCTGCCCTGCTCTGGGGAAGACTCTTGTGATGTGGGATCCTTTAGGCTTGACTTGCTGTAGGAAAGGGACAGGGACATTTGTGTGTGAGCCTCTGAAACTCAGGCCATCTGCAAAATGTGTCACTGCTTTGTCTTCACCTTTCAGTGGCTTCTCAGTCTCTCAGAGTTTTGATGTAGCTGAGTACGTTTGGTGTTCTCGTGTAAGGACCATTGAGAAGGAAAAGAGTTGCCAAAATGGTCAGAGTTGGGAACAAAATACATTGCTCAACGAAAATATTCACAAGAACTTTCCGGAAAGCAAAAGCTCAAGGGAAATGTTATAAAAGGTGCTTGAGGCATCAAACTGGCTTCATTTCTGAGGGCTGCAGACTGAACACAGGAATTCTGGAGAACTGTGCTTTCATGTCAGGATGTGATGTTTGGCCTTTATTATCCTGAATGGTGACTTTTTCCAGGAGTATAAGAAAAGTTGATTCCACCTCTTCTGTGGAGGAGACGAAGAGCCAGTGAAGGATTCTGATAGAATGTCCAGCTCCTGTGCTTTAGGAAAATACAACTTTCCTGTAAACTGTGTGGGGTGTGTGTTTTAGAAGAGAATGGTGCTTGTTCATCATCAGTGCTGTGCATTGCTAATGAGTTCAAACAAAACAAACCCCCACCCAAAACACCGCAGCAGGTTCAAGCAGTGGTACCTGACAGAACCCCTGCCTAAGCTGGACGTGGGGGTTCCTGTTGGAGGTTGTTGGGGCTGGGGGGAGCAGTGTCCCCCACTGTGAGTCACAGCAGCTCTGGTGGCCTAATTCAGTCTTGCCTGCTGTCAGCTGCTGAGGTGGAGGTGTTGGGAGGAAGGGAGAGAGCATGGCATGGGAGCTGCTCCTTGGGCACGAGGGCAGATCCAGACAGCCAGCAATGATGGGTAACCTCCCGTGCGATCTGTTTGCAGCTGGCTTTCATCTCAAAGTTAATATTGATAAAAGCTGGAGTTCTCTGATATCCTGGTTACCAGTTTAACTGATAAAGCAGCCAATTCACTGATAGTATTATTTAAGTAGCAGTGAATGATTAAAGTAGCAGAATCTGGATTCTGTGTAAATAAAGTGGTGTGGAAATAATTGATAGTGTGTACAAAAATGAGTGCCATAAAATAGTAAGTGCTTCAGGCTGTCTTGTTTTGCTGCCTTCAATACATTATTTCTCCAGGTGAAGTGTGAATGATGTCTGTAATTGACAGTGATTATTAGGTTTTATTGCATATTGTGCAAGTCATATCTATAAAAGTCCTGATTCCTAAATATGTGAGAAGCTCCACGGGCACAGTTGGGAATTCTGAGTCACCTACAGGGTGAGGTGTGTTCCACTGACAGCTTCCCTCAGGCTTGGTTTGGAATATTGACCTTGAGCTGAAGTCATAAAACAGACATTCTGCTAATAAAGATGGAGCTCTGGATCCAGTTCCTGCCAGGTCTTTGGCAATCTGTTCCAGTGGGCTGGATCTGTTCTGCTGCACAGACCTGTTCAGTGCACGGGGACCCTCTGTGTGCTCTTATGTAAATACATATTTTCCTTTAGGAAAATTCTGCATCATTCCCCTGAGCCTAAACCCTGGCTCTGTAATTAAAGCCGTGTCATAGCTTCTTTCTTTGTGCCTTTAGAGGCACACGGAGTTGTACCACCAGCAGTGCCGTAAATGCCTTAACCTGGAGATTCTCAGGACAGAAGAGATGTGCCCTGCTGTGCTGGCAGCCAGGCAGCCCTCCCTCCCTCCCTCCCTCCCTGAGTGCTGTGCCAGGGTGGCACGCAGGTTTCCTGGCCCTGCTGAGTCACTCAGGGCCTGCAGGGGAGGCAGCACTGAGGGGACACTTTGCTTCAGAGCAGCTCAGGCTCTGTCATGTCCTGCTGACTAAAGATGAGCTTGCTGGACAGGAAGAGCCACGGGGCTCTCGTGTCTTTCAGGCTGGTTTAGCAGAAATGAGACAATTTCCTTCCCTCATCACCGTAAGAAAAAAAATAAAATAAAAGTGGGCAGAGGATGGATTTCTGCTGTGGTTTGTGCTAACTCCAGTCATGCCCCGTTCTGGATATCCTCAGCTGCTGGGCAGCCATGAGCTGTTCCTCTCTCTGCAGGCTGAGAGTTGTGCAGGTCTGTTTGCTGTTTTATTTGCACGCACACAAGCACCCAGTTAAGGCAGGCAGCCCTGGCTGGGGATGGGGCTGGGGGGGAGCTTGAACACCCCCGTGTTTCCCACTGCAGCAGGACAACATCCCAGCAGTGCCACAGAGCCAGAGCAGCCTCTGCCACCGGAATTGAAGGTTGGTAGTGCCAGGGACAAGGCTGGCAAAGGGATTGTTGTGTGGTAAGCAGAAAAGCCTCACCAAGACATGGAATAGCAGGCTTGAAACCCTCATACCTTCAGGTGAGCTTGTGGTGTCCAGCATATTCACTATACAGGAGCTGAGTATATAGTTCATGTATTAATAACATCTAGATAAAAAGTTTGGCAAGTTACAGCATGAATCTTGGTTTTCATTTTCCTCTCCTTCCTCCTACTTTTGTGTAGGGTTTCAAACCCCTTTTTTCCAAGTTGGTTGACTTGTTTCAGGCATGTGACTGTTATCTGCAGCCACATTTGTTCATGACAGGGACTGTTCATTGCAGTCTTACAAAAAAAGAAGTGTTAACTGTGTGTTGTAACCTGTTTATATTCCTAGGAACTGCCCCACATAGGGCAGATATCTTTAGGAACATCTTGTGACACGATACAAGTTACAATTAATTACTGCTCTCTTGAAAGACAGGCAACTGATTTTTTTAACCCATTTGAGGTACATGTTTCAGTGTTGCAGAGGTTGTGGGTTAGCCAGAGAGAGCACACAGGAAGAATTCACTTAGTGCAGTTTCAAAACAGAAACTGGATCTCATCAAGGCCCAGAAGCTCTTTGTTCCAAGCTCCAGCAGCTCTGCAGGGCTGCCCTTGGTCAGCTGCATTGCAGAGCCAGACACGAGTGTGTAACACACAAAAGCTGTGGCACACGTTGGTGGAAAAACACTCCAGAGACATCAGTGCTGGCTGAAGAGAGTGCTGGGCACGTGGCTCAGGTGTCCACATCCTGCTGCCTCACAGCTCCAAGGGTAGTGTTTCATCTTGGATTTATTATGTGCATTAAAATGAGTTTCCACCTGAAATTTTGTTTTAAAAGGTTCTTGAAATTACACCAGAAATCTCAGCTAGCAAAGGAGAATGATTCTTTACTTCAGTGCTGGTGCAAGTAAGTTGGTTCTTTGTCACCTGCTGTCTCACCCACCTGAAGTAACCATCAGGTACTTGGTAGCTGTGGGTAACTTTGTGCTTCCATCCTCAGCTGCATCATCCCTTAAAGAGGGAAACTCCACAAGCTGTGATTAAAGAGATGGAGCTTTGGTTCCGTTCCCCCTGCAGACACCTTTGTGTTGCAGCAGCAGGGTTTGTGTGCTGTCTGCTGTGGATCCCTTGGGCAGAACCGGGGTGGTTCCCGTGGAGCACCTGGTGGGGCACCAGGAGGAGGAGGAGGAGGGTGTTGCTCTTGGAAGCGAAGTGACCTGGCACAGTTATTGCTGGTTTGGCTCAGCAGGTGATGCTGCACCATGATCTGTTCCTCACTGGGACTGGGGACACTCCTTGGCTGCTCAGCTCCTGCCCTGGCACTGCTGGGGGCACGGCCCCATCTGTGTCCCGTGCCAGGGGACAAAGGCAGCTCTGTCTGCCTCCCAGCTGTCAGGGGCTCTCTTAAAGTTACAGCAGAGTTTGGCTGGAGGATTAAGTTTATCAGGTGGTGATTCTGAGCCGAGCTTTTGCAGATGAGTGTTTGCTTTAAGCTCTGCTGCTGTTCAGCCCTGGAGGAGACAGGACCCCGATTCCTTGGGGACCTCCTTTCTCTGCAGGGGCTGATGGGGGTGTGCTGTGCTCCAGAGGCATTGCTGAGGCAGGGCATTGCTCCAAGGCATTCCCAGAGCAGGGACAGCCCCAAGGAGAGCTGTGTGCTCTGTGGTGGCTGCCAGGGGAGCACTGCTGTGACAGAGGCCGGGCTGTTGGTGTCCCTGGAGGTTCTGCAGACAGGCCTTGTTGGCAGCCCTGGTTGCACTGTGGTACAGCTGCTGTAGGGATGCATTTGCTGTCCCAGCCCTGCTTGTGGGCACTCTCAGGTCCAGTTCTGACTGGAAGTTCCTTAGCTTTGTTAGCCAAATTTATGAACTCTTCTTTTTTCTCTTTCAAGTTGCTGCAGTTTATACTTACTGAAATGTCCAGGGATTATAATCTTAGCCTTGTAATTTGCCATAATATCAAACCCCTGCCTTCTGTGTACTGAAAGTCACTAAATGGGGACTCCAGGTGACTAAGGCATCTTATTTTCATAAGCATGTAAGTGACAAACAACTGGTACCTTGGCATATTGATATTTAGACAACAAAATATTTGTGTGTGAAGTTAGCCACGCCGAGCCTTTAATGCTGCTCAACCAGTTCCTACAGTCACACATTAAACACTGCTGTGCTTCTCAGTGATGTTACACAATAGCATCAAGTTATTAAATAACATCGTATCCTGGTTTCTTCCTCTCCAGAGACTCTAACTGAACTTTTACAATAAGTATGAAACTTTGTATACTTTGATGTAAGACTTCCAGGTTACAATTTGATCATTCTATCTACGCAAAGCCAAGAGTGTACTTCACTGTGAAGTACAGCTTTTCATGGTAAATGTGCACAGCAGTTTTGTCTCTCAGAGCTCTTGTGGGGCCTCCTCCTTCCACAGGCCCCAGGAGCAGCCTGGCCATGGGAAGTGGTTTGAGAGTCACCCACAAGAGCAGAGCTTGCAGGTTGTCTCTGTTTGACTGAAGCAGTGAAGAGGTGGAGAGGGGCCTTTCCTGGGTCACAAAGCCTGCACATTCCCTCATTTCTGAGCTGGACAGAGCTGCCCTGTGTCCGTGGTGTGTTTGGGGCAGTGGCTTGTCCAGCTGCATGTCCTGCTCTGGGGAGAGGCACCTGGTGTAGTGCCTGGGAGGTGCCCACACAGAGCACAAGCATGGGGAAACGGGACAGAGCAGCATTTCCAGCAAGTGTGTGTGGCAGTCCAGTGTTTGCTTGGGTACTGGTTGGAGTCCGTTTGTGCACCCTTGGGTGCCCTGCATGCTGGGCTGCCTTCCTTCCTCCTTATTCTGCAGTCTACTTGCAAACCAAAAAATCCCAGTGTTGTGAGCTAGTCCTGCAGTTCCTGTCCTTCTGCCCTCCTCCTGTGTGCTCTGAGCATCACCTCCTCCTCGGGGCTAACCCCTGCAGGGCCAATCCTCTCCCCTCTCTCAGTGGGCTGGAGGAAAGCTGATGTGTGTGGGTCAGGACTTCCCTGATGCTGCACTGAGCTGGCTTCTGGTGAGCGTTGAATCCACCATTTGCAGTTCTACACCTGAGCTGGGGTTATCTTGCTTTTTCTGAGTGTGTGGATAGCATTTTACCCATGCTCATGGCTGTCAGTCTGCTCTCACCCTCCCAGCCGTGGTGACAGAGCATCGAGATCTTCTGCCACCTCTGAGCAGCAGCTGAGCTCCTGTGCCTTGGTCTTGGCATGTTCAGTGAAGGCAGTGCTGGGTGCGTGAGGATGCTGAGCCCAGCTCATCAGTGGGATGTGCCCTCTGAGGCACAGGACACACACCAAGTGCCACCGTGCTGCTTCTGTGGAACCTCAGCACAGCTCTTGCTCTTTTACTGCGACTGCCCCTCCGCGAGCGCAGAGGAGCGAGCACGCCCTGCTGCAGTACAGCTGGAACAGGATTGCTGCTAGTTAGGTTTTTTCCCAATTGCTCTGGTATAATGCACTGCTCCAGGCACCCTCCATTCTTCCCTTTACCAGCACGAGGAACATCTCTTGAACTGTCGGTATTTTGCCTCAATTTGTGTTGCTGTTCCTGCGGTTATTTCACTCGGATGATGCAGCAGCTGGAGGCGAGGCAGGCTGATGGGGGCATTACCTCAGCGACAATGGCATTTGAGTTGTTGCAAAGAGAAGTGTTGTTTGGATATCTTCCCCTGAACCCGGGCTGCTTGCCCTTTCAGCTGCCAGGAGCAGAGCTGAACGCTGTAGTGTCCCAGCCGCTCCTGCTGTAGCCTGCGTGTGTGGTCTGAAACAAGAACAAATGCACAGAATCTGCTGCTGAGAAAATAAGCTGTCTGCAGTGTAATAAGGGGGAGATAAAGAATGAAGTGTCTCCCGCTGCATTTAAGAGTTTGGGCCAACTGGATAACAGATTCAACAGCAGGGGCTGATTTATAATAGGGGAGGAGCTTTTTTATTTCTTCTCCCTTTCTGAAAATGAAAGGTGAGGGGAAGGACTGCAGAGGTAAGGGGTCAGCTAAGCAAAAGGTACCCACTAGGGGAGGTATTTCTGTTCTGTAGGAGATGGGCTAAACACAAATACAGATTTAATGAAGATTGCTACTGTCCAAATGGTGTCTTGCTAACCTCTTTTTCCTAATTGCCTGACCGTATGTTTATTCAGACTGGGTAGATGTCATGTGGTTGTAAATATCTAAGTCAGAGGCAGATAAACAAGTAAACTCCTGAAAGCTGTGACTGAGTCAGTAAAAATGCTGTGTTTGACTCTTTCTCTCTCTCATTCAAGTTGCAGGAGTTATTACAGCTGACTTCCTCTCGGGACTGTTCCACTGGGGAGCAGATACCTGGGGATCTGTGGAGCTGCCCATCGTTGGAAAGGTGGGAGATTGTTATTCTTAAGCTGAGAAAGCTCTGGAGTGCCCTCCTGCAGCACTGCCAGTGCTGCCAGCTGAGCTGGGCTCTGTGCCCACGCAGCCCAGGGCAGCCTGGGCTCTGCTGGGCAGGGCTGTGTGGCAGCTGGCCGGGGGGACACGTGCGAGGTGGCACTGCTCCGCTTTGTCACCTGCCTCGAGGCTGGCAGCGCTGCAGCCCCAGGGTTTGCAGAGCCTTCAGGCTCTGTGGGAGCAGCCTGTGGCAGCACAAGTGTTGGACCCTGGCTGGGCGTGTTCAGGAGGTCAGGAGCACAGATTTGGAGAGTTGTCCCTGCAGCTGAACTCCCAAAAATTTGTGAAACACGAGGCTGCTCCGGGAAGAATCTTCTCAGTTCCCTCTTCTATGGGCCCCTGTTGTAACACAGTAATATTAGAATGGTGGTGACTGAAGATTTAATTTGATATGTCTCATACACCTGCAGCTACAAATGCCAGTTGCTTAGTGGAAGGTGCACTGGCTTCTGAAGTAGGCAACAATCTGTTTTCTTAATTAAATTTCTTAATAGCTACCATTAATTACTCCTCACAATGCAATATTAGAAGGATCATTATTTATATTTTAAAAAGTGGGCTATTCCTTGTTATTATCCAGAGTTACATGAACTACAACAGCAGAATTAAACTGTTAAATTTGGCTTTTTTGTTCACCTTCAATAGACTTAGTAATCTTGAACCCCTGTATCTCTGGACCACAGTTTAAATAACTTTAAAAAACCCTTCTGCTAGAGACTCTGCACTAAATAACCATGAGCTGAGGCTGCTCAGGACACCTTTGCACAGGCTGGACGTGCTGGAAGTGTTAAAGGCAAATCAATAACTGTGTCCCACACAGTAAAACAATTGCTCTGTGTTCAGATGTGATTTCTGCTCCTAGAGGTGACTTCTGTATAGTCTGTTTGTCTTCCACTGCTTTGTCCAGTCACTTAATTTGCATTTAGTGTGTTTGTGCTGGCATCTGTAGCCCATAAATATGGTAGACTGAATCCTAATTTTTAGTGGGTTTTTTCCCTTGGTTGATTCTGCTTAGCAAGTGAATTTCACAGGCTTATTTTGCCTGTGAAATTAGGTGCTGATGCTTTGTTTTTAAGATTACACACTAAAGGTCCTAAGTGAAAATTTAGAAGAAGAAAACTGAAAAGCAAGGAAAACCTGGATTTGTGTGTGGGAGCTGAATTGCTTTGCAAATGTAAATCAAATGATCTCAAGTGTCATCATGACAAAAGTTTGAATCCCATTTACATGCTTGCTACTATGGAACTCTCTTCAACTCAATCATCAGATTTAAATGTATGAGAGAGTTTGTTTGGGTTATTTTTTTGTAATATTTTTCTTTTCCAAGACCATTATTGAGTGTATTATTGTGTTTATCCAATTGTTTTCCCAGGCTTTCATCAGACCCTTTAGGGAACACCATATTGACCCCACAGCAATCACCAGACATGATTTCATAGAGACCAATGGAGACAACTGCTTCATGACACTGGTCCCCTTGGCAAACATGGCATACAAATTTGTTTCCTTTTCCCCAGGTAAGCTGGTACTTCTGACTGCTGTGGATTTAGTGTTCTTGTTGCTATTGAATGAACATTTGTCCATGTGAAGTTTGGAGGAATCTATGGATGTGATAGGACAAGAAATAGCTGCTGGAAGCATGGTGCTCCTGGCAGGAGGGAGGGAGACTCTCTTTCCTTTGGGGTGTGGTGGCAAAAGGTGGCACAGCGAGGTTCTCTAGCTCTGCAGAGAATCTGGGGCTGGGGCGTTGTGCAAGGAAGATTAGAACTTATGCTAAAAACTTTTCCTATAAGAGGGACCAAGCTGTGAACATGTGGGGGAACTCATTGTTCCAAAGTGTGTAACACAAAACAATGCTTCATCTCTGTGCACAAGTACTTTATGTGCAAACCAGTCAGGAACTAAAGGATCAAATTAATTTTATGGATGGTAAACTAAATTTGACTTGCTGCTTATGCAGATTCTGGCACTTCCCAGCCTGTCTTGTGACATTTGGGAATTGCTCATGGCTCACTGGCTCTCGTGACACTTCTGCCAGAGCAGCTTTGGCGAGGCCTTTGTCAGCTCCTGCAGCAGCAGGCAGCTCTGGCTGGGCAGGACGCTGTCCTGGCAGGAGTGTGCCTTTCCAGAGCTGCTGTCCCAGCTGCCCGTGGTGTTTTGCAGAGGCGCTGTGTGAGAGCTGTCCCTGGGAGTGTTACGTCTTTGCCCTCATCATCTTCATCACCATGACGAACCAGATCCACAAGTGGTCCCACACGTACTTTGGCCTTCCACGCTGGGTCGTGTTCCTGCAGGACTGGCACATCATCCTGCCCCGCAAGCACCACAGGATCCACCACGTGTCCCCACACGAGACCTACTTCTGCATCACCACGGGTACTGCCCTGCTGCAGGGCCCCTCCCGGGACAGCTGTGGGACCCCTGGAGTCCCCCCTGGAGTCCCCCCTGGAGTCACCCCTGCAGTCCCCCCTGCTCTCACAGGCTCTTGGAGAGCTGCAGTTGGGTTTTTGCATAGCGTGGGGGAAGGTTTGTGATCGGCTGCAGGAGCTCGGAGCCTGAGGGAGCAGTCAGTGGTGCTGAGATCTGATTGCCTGGGGTCTTGGGGAGCTCAGGCCACTAATGGGGTTTGTTCACTAAAGCTGCTGTTCCTTCAAAAGAGCATAATGACTGCAGCTGCTCTGGAATGCTCATTTCTGAAAGCCAGGCTTCTGGATTGTCAGCATCCACTCATTCTGGCTCAGAGGAGTGGACAGGTTTGCAGAAAGCTTTAGCTTCCTTTTATACCTGTACAGGTGGGAATGCTCAGTCACCAGCGTTGCACAGCCATAAATAAGTTATCAAGTTAATCAGACAGCTGGAAATAAACCACTCTGGTTCTTCATTGTCATTGGCTTCGACAAACAGTTCATGTGGGTTTTGAAACCTCTGCCAAGAAAAAAATCTAATTCTCATTAGCAGAATGTCGTGTAGAAACACGGTACAATTAAGAAGCCTGACTTGACAGATGGTAGCAAAAATCTTGCCACCCAAAGAGCTATTTTTAAGTCCTACTGTGTCCTGAGAGTTTAAGCCTGACCATTATTAGCAGTATTGGGCTGGTTGCTTTTTTTCTCATTAAAAAAACGCTGAACTTTGGATGCTATGACAAACTAACCCTCTTTTTCCTTTGCAATCCCTTAGGTTGGCTGAATTATCCATTAGAGAAGATAAGATTTTGGAGATGTTTGGAGAATATCATCCAAGGACTTACTGGGGAGAAGCCAAGAGCAGATGACATGAAATGGGCTCAGAAAATCAAGTAACTTCTGCCAGCCTTCTGCAATCCTTAACTTGTTGCCAATGTTGTTTTTAAAAGAAAAAAAAAAAATAAAAAAATAAAGCCATCAGCCAAATTCAAGACCTGCAAAGAAATAACAGACTCTAAAGCACAAACTAAAAAGTGCTAACACAGACTGCAATGAAAAGAACTAATTCTTAAAACAATACTTGAAATGAAGATGATTACTCTCACTGAGCACCTTTTTGTGTAGCCATGTCTGCTTACACCTTAGAACTTGCTTGGTCGCTGTATCCGTGAGGTACCGGGCACGCCGGGGGGACGTGGGGCGGAGGAAACGTGTGTTGTATCAACATTCCTGAGCCCTTCCCTAACTGCTCGTTGCCTAAGACCCGCAGGGAGAGCGGTGGCAGCTCTGTCACTTGGTGTTGGAGTGCAAGGGGGGAGCGATGGAAGCCTGTAAAATCATGACTGCTCGATGCACTCGGTGATGATCGACGTTCTGCTCTGTCTTCACTATCATGTTCAACCTGATTGATGTCATGTGGAACAGACTTGGAGACTCCCCCTCCTCCAGGGGCCACCAATCCTCAAGTGTCTTCAGTTTCCCTTAAAATTGTTCTACTCTCCACATGGAATTGAGCAGTTTCTGCATAAGCCTTCAACTTCAGGAGCCTCTGAGGAGAGGGAGGGCACCCTACAACACGTGTGTCTGTTCGTGTGGAGTGCTCACTGCTGAGTCTTCTATTAAGTGTTTCCTACCCTGACAATAAATGTTTGAAATAGTTCTAGCATTGGGCACACTGCAAATAGCTGTATTCAAGAGCTCAAGGTATCAAACTCGTAATGTTAGAAGGGAAATGTCAATGACTGGTGTTTTGTTCTTTTTATTTTTTTTTAAGGTGCTTGCTTGTTTCTGTAAATAATATAAAGCCTTAATCTCTTCTGGTGTAATGGAATAATATTTTAATGTGATGTTTGAATGTATATAATATATTTATAACAAAGCAGTTGGATAATACTAATCATGTTCAAGTCTTGTTGCTGTTTTTCATTGCTGCACTGGCAGCACTTAGTGCAAGAGCTGGATCAGTGGTTGCACAGCACCTCGTGCATCCCACACCTGAGACACCTGGCAGCCTGTCACAGCTTCTTTGGGCTGGAGTGATCATCTGCCAGCGTTTTAGGAGCCTGGCACTGTGTTAGACCAGACTTCTGCACCTTTCAAGAAGTGTGAGTAATTCATTCTGCTCTGGATGCAAAGGAGTAACCCCAACTGAATTGGGGTGAAGAAGTTTCCCTAAAAACATCCAGCAGGCACTTGATCAAGTTAATGTGCTTTGGATCTTGTTCAGTTCTTGCCTGGCTGAAAGCTTTCTGATGATCAGATGTAAGGTATGTTCCCTCCTCTAGCTGTAAGTTGTGTTAAATTCAAGCTGCCTCTTCCTGAAGAGCAGGGTGAGATGGTTTTGGGTCACAGGCTTAGACTGACCTTGATCTCCAGTCCTTCAGCTATGGTGGATGGATGCTGAATGCCTTGGCACCTGGCAGCTCTCCTTCAGAGGGAGTGCTGAATGCAGATGCTTCTGAGCTGGGTTCTGCAGATTAAAATCACAGCTGGTACCTTGGTCACAAAACCTTTCATGTAAGTGTTCAGACCTTGGAGAACTTGATGCCATTACCTGGAACTCTTCTGTTCCCATTGCCACAGTCACTACCAGGTCTCTGTGCAGCTCTGACATTAAAGAATTCTTCCACTTCAGCAGGAGTCCCAAACTGCCTTCAGTTGATTCTGGAGAGCTCTGGACAGAGCTGGGTGGATGTTCAGGGCTCAGCCTGAAGCACTGGGTCCTCTGAGAGCTCTTTTCACTGCAGGTTTCAATGCCAAGTGAGCAGCAGTGGTGCAGTGGATGGAACAAATGGATTTGGGACACAGAAATCACCAGAATTTGTACTTGCAAAGTGCTGCTTAAGGCATTGCTGGTGCCTTACTGGAAACAAATCTGAGCTACTGACACTGGTGGCTGCTGGGACTATTTATCTGTTAATCTTGCTTAATTGTGAGAAACTGGGACAGAGTTAATCTCCAGATGCATTTTCCACGTGGATGCTGTGCTCCTGGCTCTGTGACCCACACCCGACGTGGCTGCAGCTCCCGAGGGCCCTGTCCCACCCCTTCAAAGACGTGGATGCTCCCACAAAATCAATGTGGCAATTCTGGAGCAAAAGGCTGCGTGGATCCTTCTTAACAGCTGTAAATCTGGCTTAAGAAAATTTGTCTTAAGTTGATTAGGAAGAGATTAGAGCTGAAGCAGAATAAGGCACTCCTGTTAAACTCCTCAGGGATGGATGGCCTGCATTTCAGTTTAGTGCTTTTAAATGCTTCCATAAGCTCTGATTTCAGTCTCACCTCCATGGAGAACTGTGGTCAGGAGAGCCTTGGAGAGCAGCTGTGATCTCTTATGTGCATCCCAGGAGCAGGAGAGATTCCCTATGTGCATCCCAGGAGCAGGAGAGATCCTTACACACATCCCAGGAGCAGGAGAGATCCTTACACACATCCCAGGAGCAGGAGAGATCCTTACACACATCCCAGGAGCAGGAGAGATCCTTACACACATCCTAGGAGCAGGAGATCCCTTATATCCATCCCAGGAGCAGGGGTGATCCCTTACATCCATCCAGACCAGGGGTGATCTGCACTGCAGACGCCTCCTAGACAGAGCTGTCTGGGGCCACGGCTGCACAGGGAAGTGTTCCTCCTGCTGCTTTGTCCTTTATTCCTGCTGCTTTTCCTTTTCTTTCCTTCCTGCTTTGTCCTTTCCTTTCCTTTCCGCCTGCTGCCTTTCTCTGCTGCTTTTCCTTTCCTTTCCTTCCTGCTGCTTTTCCTTTCCTTCCTGCTTTGCCTTACATCCATCCAGACCAGGGGTGATCTGCACTGCAGACGCCTCCTAGACAGAGCTGTCTGGGGCCACGGCTGCACAGGGAAGTGTTCCTCCTGCTGCTTTGTCCTTTCCTCCTGCTGCCTTTCCCTTTCCCTTTCCCTTCCTGCTTTGTCCTTTCCTTTCCTCCTGCTGCCTTTCTCTGCTGCCTTTCCTTTCCTTTCCTTTCCTTTCCTTTCCTTTCCCCTTTCCTTTCCCCTTTCCTTTCCCCTTTCCTTTCCCCTTTCCTTTCCCCTTTCCTTTCCCCTTTCCTTTCCCCTTTCCTTTCCCCTTTCCTTTCCCCTTTCCCTTTCCTTTCCTTTCGCGGGGTCCGTGCCCCCCTCGGAGCGGCGTTGTGTTCCAAAGCAGCCTCCAGGAACAATCGATGGCTCCCGTGGCTGCTCAGGGCGGAGTGTGGGAGGCTGACTGCAGAACTCCAGCTGCCGTGGGTCTCCGGAACGTTTTGTTTGTAATTGTTCTGGCTGCTTTCACAGCCTGTTTTGGGGCTCATTTTCTGAGCGCGTGTTGTAAAGCCAAGTGAAGCAGAACTCATTTCCTTCCCATTTCTTTTAACTTTTTTTCGTATTACGCCGGAAGGGAGCGGGCTGGGGGAAGCTGGGCCGGGGTGTAAGCGGTGTCACACGCCCGCCACGGCGCCGGTGTCCCGGGGCCGGTGGCCGGGGCAGCACCGAGCGGCGATAGCGCCCGCCCGCGCCGCGGAGCTGCGGGAGCGCCGCGCGTGCACCACAGAGCTCCGCGCGCGGCCCGCCCCGCCCCGCCGCGAGCTCCCCTTAGCGCGCCCGCCCGCGCCCGTGGCCGCAGTTCCCGCGTTGCGGTGACGTCAGGCGGGGGCGGGGCCGGCGGCGGCGGCGCAAGATGGCGGCGACCACGGGCGCGGGTGAGCGGGGCCGGGCCGGGC